GAGTCGGCCAGAGAGAGGCGCTCACCTAGCTTCACCACCGCGTCGGCCATGCACCGGTCCCACTTTTTGCCGAATTCCGACTCCGACATGTTCCCCGCCGGCAACTCCAGAGCTCCTCACGGCCGGCCCCCGCGCTCACACTGATCACAAGTCTCGCGAGCGCCGGCCGCCGCCGTAGGCTTCCGGCAGGAGCCGGTGCTCCAGATACCGCGAGATCACGCGTGTCTGCCGTCTCTTCCGGTTTCCTTCGCTCTGTCGCCAAGGTGACAGGTTGCCAGGAAGCCGGAGGTGACCCTGACCTTGGAGCTACGCGGAAAGGTAGCGAAGACGGACAGCTTCCTGACTAACACCCACAGTGCCGACGGCCGTCCCTCGCCCGCGTTTCCTGTCTGTTTATATTTTGTTCATTTCCATCCCAGCCACCCTCTGGCATCCCGCATCCCATACCCACTGGACCCCTTCTTTAAAAGCCCCCCTTTTTTCATAGGACCCACTGAGGGGTTTTTTGCTATTGTTTCCTTCCTTTCTTTTTTTTTTTTTGGGGGGGGGGTTCGAGACAGGGTTTCTCTGTGTAACCGTCCTGACTGTTGTGGGACTCGCTTTATAGACCAGGCTAGCCTCGAACTCACTGAGATACGCTTGTCTCAGCCTCCCCAGTCCTGGAATTCAAGGCGCCCATCTCCACCGACTGGCCAGGACCCACTGAGTTTAATTAGGGTAGCTTGATGGTCATGGTGGGGGGTTATTAATTGGAGCATGAACAATTTACAAATGAACTTTTAATAGATTTTTTTTTAAAACGCTTTGGAGCCTCCAACCAGATGTCCCTGCCCCCTCACCTTCCTGGTCTCTGCTCCTAAACACGTGACACCACCCTGCCCTAATTTTGACAGTTTCCTCCAGGCCTCACTTTTTTTCCTATCTGTTTAGAATGTTGGTTCTCACACCTCCATCTAAGTGAACTCCAATCAGAACTTCTGAACTTGGTCATGTGACCCCCTTTTGGGGGGGACACATATCAAATGTCCTGCGTAGTAGATATTTTCATTATGATTCATAACAGTAACGAAATGACAGGAAGTAACAGCACTATGACATAAATTTATGGCTGAGGCCACCACAACATGAGTGAATGAAAATAAATACAGAAAAAGAAAGGAAGGAAGGACGGACGGACGGACCTGACTGCTCCTAGTTAGGGTGGAGGAGGAGGTTTATTTTTTTTTCTCTTAACATAATTGAAAGGTTCACTTTTTCGTCAAAAACATAACAATAACGGTTTTATTTGTTGAAAATAACTGTCAGTGTGCTAATCACTTAACAAAACACAGAAGGTGGTCAGACAAGAATTCTGACTGCTGGTGCAGTGTACCTCTGCAGCTCCCTGGCAAAGGGCAGGCTTAGGGAAGGCAGAGGAAGCTCAGCCACAAGTACCTGGGTCTGTTCTCAGGCGTCAGCATGTACACTCTTGGAACTGTCCCCTCATGTCACTCTCCTACTGCCTTTAAAGGCTTCACACACTGCCACCTGCAGATTCTGGAAGAATGCTAAGAAACTGGCCCAATAGAGGCCCTGCTACTCTACTTGATGCAACTACAAGACAAAGGGGGTGGGTCACAGGGCTTCGGCACAAGCCCGTCACAATGGCGGAGGGTATGGAACACGTCACGAATTTGCCTGTCATCCTTGTGCAGGGGCCATGCTAATCTTCTCTGTATCGATGCAATTTTAATATATGTGCTGCGGAAGGGAGCACGGAGGAGGTTTATGGTAGATAAAGGGGCGCACATAAGCAGAGTCAGGGACATCTGGGAGAGTCCAGGCTGAGCTGGGCTATGTGAGAAGAGAGAAGGAAAGAGAGCAAGAGAGGAGTCGCTGACCAAGAGACCAGGAGGGTAAAGGGTAGACCAAAAGGTGGAGAACCTGGCAGGCAGGCCCACTTTGGTATGTTAAATAGGCACCTCAAATATTTGTTCCAGGTTTGAGACCTAACCATGAACTGTATTAAAGGGTTGCGGCTTTAGGAAGTTCGGTCATGTTATTCCTCTCATTAGGCCCTGCCAATGGTTCTGGTCCCTATGTAATAAATAGATATATTTAGCAATGAAGCCTACGCTAACATAGGTAATTTTCTCCCCATGGTGTCCCTTGTTTGCCAGTAGAACTTGAAGGGCCTTAAAGACCTGAGATGCCTGTTTATCCCCACACTTTGTTCTTACAGCATCATGTCTTGGATGGTAGAATCGTCTACGAAATATGTTTGTATGGATGTGAAAATGAATCTAAATGGTTTCATTCATTAAAAAGAGAAAGAAAAAAGTCAGGCAGTGGTGGCGCACGCCTTTAATCCCAGCACTCAGAAGGCAGAGGCAGGTGGATCTCTGTGAGTTTGAGACCAGCCTGGTCTACAAGAGCTAGTTCCAGGTCAGCCTCCAAAGCCACAGAGAAACCCTGTCTCGAAAACCAAAAAAAAAAGAAAAAAGAAAAAAGAAGGAAAATGAGTTTCACTGAACTCCATCTGTCACAAGGCACCTCACACAATTGAAAGCATCCTCAGTTCAGATTGAGACCAGTAGCTTTGTTCCAGATTTGGAAACTGAGTTCGAGATGTTAGGCAATGCTGACAAGGCTCACCACTGTGGAGATCTACAGATTCCAGAGTGACGTAAGCTCCTGTAGAAGGTGGACAGCAATGAACAAAAGCGTTCAGAGGCAGATGACCTAGCCAAGATTCTGGAGCCAGGCTGTCTTGTCTCAGATCCCAACCTATCCATTTCTAGCTTGAACCCTTTCTTCTCTGTCTACTGTTCCTTCACAGCCCAAGAGCAGAACCTGGGATATGGTGTTTGCCTGATGCATATGTTGGTTGAATGGAGAAAAAGGAAAACCTGAAGTAAAATCAGTACAGGTGGAGAAGCATTTTGGGTCTGGTTTTGTTTTGTTTCGTTTTAGAGACAGGGTTTCACAGTGTATCCCTGACTGGCCTAGAACTAGCTGTCAGACTAGGTTGGCCTTGAATGCTCAGATCCACCTGCCTTCAGAGTGCTGGGACTGAAGGCATGTGCCACCACCATCCAGTTTGAGAATTAGTGTTAAAAGGGGAGGAGAAGGTGTGCACACCTTTAATCCCAGCACTCTGGAGGCAGAGGCAGGCAGATCTCTGGGAATTCAAGGTCAGCCTGGTCTACATAGTGAGCCCCAGGTCAGCGAGGGCTACATAGAAAGACCCTGTCTCAGAAAACAAAAACAAGAATCAGCAAGATGGTTCAGTAGGTCAATGCCCCTGCTACCTGGCCTGACCACATGAACGCTGGGACCCAGGTGGTTGAACAAAAGCACTGACTCCAGAAAAATTGTCCTCTGACCAACATACATACATACACACACACACACACACACACACACACACACACACACACACCACACCTGCACACTATAAATTTAACAAAAATTTTAAAAAAGATCTGCCATATAAGCAAGTAGACTAGCTTGCTATGCAACCCTGGCAAACTGAGGTTGTCACAAGACCCACAATGGAAGGAGAGAATTGTCAGGTCCAAAAGAAACTCAGTACAAAAGGCTGACTGTGGTGCCTATTAGCATAGCAATCGAAGCATATGCTGTCTCCAGGTTCACACAGTACCTGTGGCTCCTCTCAGCCCTTCAAACTGCCCACAGTTTCACTCCTCCCTTCCCCAGCTTCTTATTCCTATATATTCCTTATTCCTGCCATCTCTGGACGCTCTCTCATTACTCTCTTGGTTCTCTCTCTATTCTCTGGTCTCTCTCTTACCCCCCCCTCCTCTCATGGTTTGGTTCAGTCTACTGGCCAGGTTTAGTGCACTATTTTCTCTCTCTTCTCTGGACTCTTCCAGATGTCTCCGGCTGTACTTTCCCTCAAATCTACAATAAAAACCTTACCCTCAGCCATACCTTGGAGCTGTCATGTCCTCATTCCATTCAAGAATTGACTCCTGAAAGTTGTCCCCTGATCTCTACACGCACACCCAGGTATGGGCTTCCCTACACACACATTAAGGCTAGTGAGACAGCTCAGCAGTTCAAGGCGCTTGCCACCAAGCTTGACAACCTGCGTTGTCAAGAAACCCTGTATGGTGATATGAAGAAAATGGCCCCCAAAAGGAGTGGCACAATCAGGCAGTGTGGCCTTGTTGGAGGAAGTGTGTCACTGTGTGGGCAGGCTCTGAGGTCTCTTCGGCTCAAGTTTCCTTCTGTGTGACTGTCAGTTAACTTACTGTTGTATGTGGTCATGCATGCCTTTAATCCCAGCTCTCGGGAAGCAGGGGCAGGTGGATCTCTGTGAGTTCGAGGCCAGCCTGGTCTACAGAGTGAGTGCCAGGACAGGCTCCAAAGCAATACAAAGAAACCCTGTCTCGGAAAAGCCAAATAAATAAATAACAAACAAGTACCTTAGATCCTTGGAAAAATGATTGGGACCTCAAGCTTGGGTAGGGAAGATACAAAATAAGAGGGAGATCTTGTGTCACAAAATAAGGAACTTTTCAGGGGATGACGGTGACATATTGTCTTAGGGTTTCTATTGCTGTGAAGAGACACCATGACTGGAATTCTCATAAAGGAAAACATTTAACTGGGACTACCTTACAGTTTAGAGGTTTAATCCATTATTGTCATGGCAGGTTGCATGGTGGCATGCAGGCAGACATAGTGCTGGAAAAGTAGAGAGTTCTACATCTTGATCAACAGGCAGCGGAAGCAACTGTGTGCCACACTGAGCATAGCTTGAACATAGGAGACCTCAAAGGCCACCCCCACAGTGACACACTTCCTCCAGCAAGGCCACACCTACTCCAACAAAGCCACACCTCCTAATAGTGTCACTCCCTATGGGGACCATTTTCTTTCAAACCACCACACATAACCAAAAAATGTTTTGTTTTGTTTTTTATTGTGTGTGTGTAAATGTGCAGAGATGATGCCAGGAGAATGTGTCTGTTCCTTGGAATTGGAGTTACAGATGGTTGTAAGCTGGCATGTGGATGCAAGGAACTAAACCTGGGTAAGCACTCTGACTGAACCAGCTCCCCCCACACCCTCTATACACACACAGCTGTTTTTTAGATGAGTCTCCTGTGGCCCTGGCTAAGCTAGAATTCACAAAGTAGCCAAAGCTAGCCAGGAATTTCTGGTCCTCCTGTCCCCACCTCCCAAATTCGGGTTTTACAGATGTGTGCCACCATGCTAGGCTCCCAACTTTTAGTAAGCACAAGCTACCTTGCAGCGATTGGCTCCTAACTGGATCCCTGAGTAAGCTGACTGCACTCTGGAGCAGGTCTCTAATAACCAGGCACTGGTTTCACAAAGAACGTAGTACTTTGCATCTCAAACAGGTAAAAGAAACATCTGTAATAAAGCCATTTCGCCTCAGGACAACCAGCATCTGAACTGAAGAAAAATTTAGAAACCAGAGCTATGACCTAAGTAGGGTTGATTTTCATCTCACTGGTTCATCAGCTAGAAACAGTCCCTTTGTCTGATTTACTGGGTTCTAAGGTCGGGGTCATTAACAAGGGCGATTGGACTGCTTTATTGCATCGCACCTGCATAAATAAAGACACCATTGACTCCTTTCATGCTTTCCTGTCAGTCAAAAGTGAATTCCTTGTTAAAGGGGACTTCATGCCTTCTGTTCCACATCTTCCTTCCCCAAGAGGGGTGTTGCATCATTGTGCTCCCTCCGGAATGTGCCCAGAGTCCTATAGCTACTACGCACTGTTTAATTTGATGCCCTTTGTGTATGGGGGGGGGGGGAGGAGAGGATACAGCAAACACACACACACACACAAAGTGCTGAAAAACCTGAGCATAGATTAAGGGCCAGGGAGATGGCTCGACGGCTAAATGTACTTGTCTTGTGAGCCTGATGATGCCCAGTAAAAAGCTGTATGTCCCAAGGCCAAGTCTTTATTCTCAGACCTCCTGTAGCAAGACAGGAGGTAGGCGGGCAAAGGCAGGGCCTTCCTCTGGTTCATTCTTTTTGTTCTTTTTCTTCTTGTTTTTACTGAAATTCCTTTGTCTTTTTTTTTTTTTTTTTTTTTTTTTTTTTTTTTTTTTGGAGGGTCAGGGTCTTGTATAGCCCAGTATGGCCTTGAACTTGGTAAATAGAAGAGACTCATGATGCTCTTAACTCTACCTTCCAAGTGCTGGAGTTACAGGTGTGGACCACCAACCCTGGGCGCTCTGCTGTGTTGTTATATTCCTGATGCTTTGCCTAGTGGTTATGAATGGTAAGCATTTAGTTAATGGTTCTTTTTTATTAAAAGAGTTTATTTATTTATTTATTTATTTGCATTAGTGTTTTGCCTGCATGTATGTTTGTGTAAGGAAGTCAGATTTTGGCATTACAGACAGTTGTTAGCTGACCTATGGGTGCTGGGAATTGAACCCTTATCCCCTGGAAGAGTAGTCAATGCTATTAACCACTGAGCCATCTCTCCAGCCCCTAGTTAATAGCTAATTAATTAATTAAAATTATCAGGAATCATTTCCTTTCCCCTCTTCTAGCCCCAGCAGCCTCAAACTTACTATGTAGACCAGACTGTCCTTAAATTCGCAGAGATCTGCCTGCTTCTGCCTCCTGAGTGCTGGGATTAAAGGCATGTGCCACCATGTCACATGACTGCCCTTGAACTCATGGACCTCAGCATGACAGCTGGAGAACCAACATAGGACCAAACCAGGCCCCCTGACTATGGGTGTCAGCTAGGAGGACTG